GCTGAATACAACCTTAAATATTATGGCATACATGATGTAGCTCTTCTGGTTTACATTTTCTTCATCAGTATTTGTTAATTTTATATTTTACATATACTCTTAAGCCTTCATCATAAAGTAATCATTCCCAATTACGCTACATGTAAACTCGCTGAATCAAAGACATTATTTTAAATTAATCAGAGATTAGTGCGTTCATAAAGTTCACTGGTTTAGAAACACTAATTTATTTTTTGTGATTTTCATAACAAGACATGTTATGAAAATTCACTATATGAATGTTAAAAATATCTTTCCATAGATTTTTGAGGCACAACAAAGGATTTTATATCTTAGTAAGGTATGGCTGGTGGTGGAGAGGTCTCTTAAAATTAGTGCAGTAAATAGTCAGAAATAAAAGGGAAACATTTGTTCAGCTATGTGGAAGAAAATAATACACAGCCTGTGCATCTAAATATCTATGCAAGGCTTTTTACCCATGACCTGAGGTTAAGCTATTCAGCTGGGAGGGTTCTAGGCCTGGGTTGAAATCTCTGCTCTGTATCAGGTAGTGTCAAGGTTTGAAGCTTGGTGTCTCCTATGTAAGCACGAATGAGTAAGTGAAGGTTACAGAAGGAGGTGCTTTGATTATGCCTACTGCATCGAGTCCCCTAAGTGAGATGGGTGGGATAAAGTCTTATTTGTGAATCCTGGTGGCGCTTAGCTAGGACCTAATGTTCAGGGTGAGCAGTGGGGTCGAGTATCGCAATTTTGGGTTTAGGAACCCCTAGCCTTAGCTATGCCTTCCCAGCCTCCAGCTGCCCAATGCCAAGAGTATGCAGTATAATCCAAGTTTCTTCCCCCATGACAATAGGTGGCGAGCATGCGAGATCCTTCAAGGCAAATACAGTATGAGCTTCAGCAATGGCAAATTGACACACATTGAAGACATGCCATATAGTCATAGAATTACTGACTGCACAGAATCCTGACAGAGATTAATGAGGCTACATGCAACTTTAGGAACACACACTCCCAAATTCATCAGTTTCTCTTGCTTTATAAAATGTCTGTGCTTTTAAGGCATTTGAAGCAGAGTGATAACAGTACTTTTCTGTCTCTCAGTGGGGTAGGGACAAATACTGTGAAGGGGCTCAGATATTACAGTGATGGCAACCACATACGTGCCATAGATTTTTTTTTAAGTTGTCAATTGCTTCATCTGTAAAAGTAGGTTTGTTAATACTTCATTACTTTTGTGAGGTGCGATGAGCTATACAGCTGAACGTGCTATGTTAGCGCTAAGTACTGTTAAATCGCTAGAGACACAGTCATTGAAGTACCATATGTCCTCAAGGTTTCAATTTGCAAAGCAAAACAACACAAGTCTTTTATAGCCACTTATAAAAGCCACACTGACATTCTCATTCTGAGTGAGCCACATCTGTATATCAGGCATGAAGCAATCATTCAGGCTGCTGCAATTTGCTTAAGTAATAGTGGGTAATGCACCAGTCTGGGGCTGAACCCAGGCTGGAAATTTCAGCTGCAATTTCCCTGAAAGCCATTAAAACAAACTAAGCTATATATTGCTCACATCACAGTAGAAAAAAGAACCAACCACACCTCTCCCCCCTTAATCATTATACCAGAGCACTCAGGACCTCTCAAATTTGCCTAAAGATCTGTGAGGCACTTAGGTTTAGTCACGACTTGTAGTACCATGTACAAGATGGAGCTGAAATGTAAATACAGAGGGCAGCTTTCACCATGAAAAGTCAAGTGTGGGCTCCAAAATGGTGCCAGTGAACTCTGCTCTGGCAGCTAACAGGCCAAATTCACTAGCGCCTAGATGCATGCAGGAAATGTAGGCTGTGCATTGCGAGGGTCTCTGATTGGCTCCCTAAGCAATGCCTGGGGTGCTTAAGAGACATCAGAAGCCACCATGGGGAGTGCCATCAAAGCTGTTCAGTAAGGATGAGGTGAGGGTCTTAGGTCCTCAAATATATTTAAGCACTTTTTTAAATACCTAAATATCTTTGAGAACCTGGACCTCGGCTCTGAAATCCAGGCCAGAGATAGGCACCCCGCACTGCTCAGGGTTCACAGCCATGCCCCCTCTTCTGGAGCTAATTGTCTATGCCCTTTCTTGACTCACCAGACCCTGCCCCAAAAAGCCATATGTGGTACCTCTATAACCTTTAGCGCTACAGGAGAAGACAGTCCTATTTAGAGGCACCTACTGAGGTTCGAGCATGAGCTTTGTTCAGGCCTCAGTGCACATTTCTAGCACCAGCCAGTTAGGTACCATCAGCCCTTTACTTATGGAAACGTTGGGTGCCTAGCAATGCGACGCACTCCCTGGGCTAGGCAGTTGCTGAGCAGGGTATGCGAAAGTTTAGCTTTAGACCTTAAAGCGGCAGTTAGGTGCGGAAATTCCTTTTGGCACTAACTGTTGGCGCAAACCATTCCATGGACAGCAGTAAAAATGTGTCCCCTTTTGTTAGCAACAATTGGTCTAATGTGTGCTCCCTCCGCCACACAGCTACCCAAGGAATTTTTATTAAACTCACTGGTTAGAGCACTCACATGGGCTGTGGATGAGTCACATTTAAATCCTTGCTCTCCCTGGTTGGGCAAAGGGATATGACACTGGTCTCCCAGTGGTCTAATCAGAAGGTTGTGGAGTCAACCTCTAGCTGGTCCAGAGAAGAGTTAAGTGTTTAACACAAAGTGGAACAGTCAAGAGAGCATGCCAGCCTAGAATTCCCTGTGGCTTGGTACTTACGACAGATGCTGGAAATCTGGGATCAATCCTTGCTCCAGATCAGGTGCCCCACAGACCACGTGGGTGCTTTGAATTCTGGGCATTCGGTTCTGTTGGGGGATCGCTCTCTGGTTTGGCACACAAAAGGGCTCCTAACCCGAGGAGAGAGTTCATGGCTGAGGAACCTCCATCAATCAATATCTTGAGCCCCAGATCAGTGGTATTTAGGCAGATCTTTGTGGATCTGAAGCCTTACCACCTTCCATTTCCTCTTCATTTTCACTTGTGGGTAGCTTCATCCACTCCCCACTCAGCTTGCTGGATTCAGAGAGTCCCTTTCTTAGATACCTCGATCTCCCCACATAATACATGGGGCATTTAAGTTGAAGCCGAGGTTTTCACTGGGCTACCAGAATGGCTAGGCATTA